TGACAGCCTTAAAGCAAAAAAGTAACCTTAACGACGCTTTGGAGAAGTTGAACATTTGCACCTGCAATTTAAAAAAATCAATTTATTTTCAACATATATTTTGAAAGAACATACTTCATTAAGGAAAATTCTCTATCATCAATATTAGCCTTATTATTTATTTGTTTCCAATTTTCAAAAATACAGAGAGTTCTACAAAATGAGACTTACACATCTTTTGACGGTTCTCTCTTCTAAAGGAGGGGAAATATTTTTAGTTATTAAATAAAAAATTGCCGCCATGTCTGTATTTGTCAATAAATTGATTTAATCTCAAGGGAAAATCAAAGCCATGGAGCTGAAAGTTTTCTTTTCCGACACTATTTGCGCTGATTAGCTCGTGGCATGCCATGGTGGAGCGAGGCGTGTTGCTGCCACCAGTTCTCAACTTTGATATCACTGATATGCAGCATTGTGACAATATAGATCTTCTGTCGTACAGTCTTTAGTTCTGGGAAAATACCCTAATGACATTCAATACTCAAATAAACAAATATCCACCAGTAAACGACTTAAGCTGCAGAAAAAAACAGAACAAAAACATCAACAACAGATATAAAAATATCTTTGAGCTGAAATCAAATTAACAGTATAACTGCTATCCGCGAAGACATGCGGAAGCTTCTGGACAGACGCATTGTAAACATTCTTTCTCGGTACACTGCTCACTTGCGTTCCTCAAAGTCTCAGGACGCGAATTAGAAATGCAAGGATTGCGGTTAATTGCAACTAACGAGCTTCGCGGTAGAGAATGCATGCGATGCGTCTTATAATTGCGTTTTCCTCGTACGAAGCGCGCATCTTTTGTCCGTGTAGCCGGTGCTGGGTCTCGATTGCCGGCCTCTTAGTTCAACGACTCAGCTTCCGAGTCGCATCCTATTTCTGAGTTCGTCACTAGATCCTCTTGGTCGGGAAATTACACTTCCAGCCTTATTAGATGTTAATAACCTTTACAAACAACACATAACTTTTGCATTTGTTTTTAAAACTGTTTGCAATGGAATTTCAATTTAATAGAATTTTTAAACTCTAGAATTGGTAGTTGAAGAAAACATTAATATATATCGTCGTATGACGTATACAAAGTGTAAATAAATAATGGGCTCCAAGAAGTGTAAAAATTAGTAACACGACAAATCTTGCCTTTTATAATTTTCATAAATATTTATCTTCATTTATTAAATTTTTTATTTATTAAATTTATTTTCATAAATGTTTATCTTTTTTAAGAAACTTATTTCATTGTGAATAAGGTAGAGAGTAACTTTCTGAACCTGGAATCAATTGAATTGTGTGAGAAGAGACTGAAACTTTATATTCGCAAATATAAGCAATCAATTTATATTAGTGATAAAGCAACATTATCGAAAAACCCATCAATGGACAGGAAATTGCCACATTATTTGCGACACTTTACTTAGGGAAACAAGTATCAGATATATCATACACAGAACGGATTTAGAATTCCCTTCAATCATTCGCACTGAGGCGAAGGGTTCCTACACACTAACTTCTTTAACTTCTCTAACCTTTAAATTTATTGCGTAGGCTTCCGTTGCCGCAGTTTGTATTATCTAGGCCATCCGGAAAGAGCCGTGTCTCTGTCGTTGTGGATGACGTTTCGGCAGAAATATGTTGCCCAAAACGACAGAGACGTGACTCGCCCCGAATAGCTTAGTTAACTACCAAACGAATTTTGTAAATGTAGCTTTTCTATGCCCGTGTTTTTGCTTGTGGTGATAGGAATAGAGCTAAGGGCAAGTTACTATTTTGTTATCATCGCAGAAAAATCAATCTGCGGTTCGTTTACCGTTGCAATTAAGTTTTTTATTACTCGGGGATGAAAATGTCTAGTTTTTCAAATGTTGTTAATCTCGCGATTTTTTAAATTTTATTTTTATTCCTTCATTTATATTAAACATTTATAGTTGAAATGATGGGAAAGGATTCTGAAACTTAAGAATACGTGCGCAGATAATCTTGTTCCCCGTATGTCACATATAGTTTTTATTGTTTTTTGACTAAATAAATCTAAATTGAACCTATCGTTCGCATGGACGTTAAAAAAACTTCCGAAAATATTCGTTATGGGCGAGGTTTGACAATCAAACTAATAAGGCATACGATAACGATTGTTTTTGATTGCCAACACTTTTGCGTGATCGAAGCGCCAATTAACGCCCGGAAATATTTCGGAATGTCTTTATCGTCGCTGGGGCGGTTGGGGGCTCTGGATCAAGTGCCGACGCGCGCTGATCCACGGCGTTTCGCGCTGATCCATGGCGTTGCGCACTGCTCTGCGCGTCTGGTAGGTCAGGGATGCGGAGCACAGGGGTCTCTCAAGAGCCCCAGCACGCGCAAGGCGTCAATTAAGTCGTGGCAGCAACTGAGTGTGATATAAAAAAGTCTTCTCTATGATTGTATATTCTTATATATTTGTGTTAGGATAAGGTTTCCAATTATATAAATGTTAATCAACTGCTTGATCTTTTGAACATATTGTTATTTTACTCCATGTACATATTCTGTATTCCTCTATGAATATGTGGTATAATTAGTAGGTAATAGTATCGATAAGTGACGAATCGGCAAACATTTTAATAGAAGGTCCAAGCATATCTCATCCTATATATTATGGCGTAAAACATTTCTTGTATGCTTATAATCTCAAAATTTTAATTTATAAGGACCTAGATCGCTTTGTTTAAGAGTTATTTAACAATTTATCTGACCAAGTGTTGCGGGTTGGATTTAACACGAATAATTATATGCGTTTTTTTAAAACAAATCCTTTATATTTTTTAAGTTAAAATGTAGTTAGTCACGTCAGTGAAATTGTTTTGTAAGAGATCTCATTTATAAAGATTAGTTGCCTGTGAGAGATACAAATGATATATATATATATATATATATATATATATATATATATATATATATATATACTACTGAAATATATAGGAGACAATTATAAGAACTCTAGGTCGAATAGACAAAATAGAATCAATAAATGTTATAACAACACAGTATATGATTATATGATGAAGTATATGATTTGTTGTCATGGTTCCAATGTGTGAGCTGGTCCTCGTTTTCACCGATTTTAATAATATTGGGGCTATACCGAATGCAACTATCATCATATTTCCTCCTCAAACATTGTATTTGTCGTTCGTCTTTGTCACTTCTAGTTGAAGATGACTCTCTGTGACTGTGATAAACGTGTTCATTAATTCACGCTGTGTTCTGTGATTTGTATTTTTACAGAATTCGAAAATATATGAGATTTTCTTTTACGAGATTCTCTAGGTTCCAATATCCTCAGAAAAAACGAATACTGTATTTCAACATCTTTTTCAAAAACGTTTTGAGTTTTAATGATAATATAACACTAAACGTATTTTGATTCGCTGCAATGTTAAACATATGGATTCTATTTTTAAAGAGGAAGATATGCGTATTAATTTCAGGCATTTCAAATTTATTACATACCTTCATCTCCTAATTTTTGGAAAGCGATTTTCGATGGTATTGTTACTAAATCGACCGTCAAAGATTTTATTTTTCAACTACAGTATCGGCTTACAGTCATGATTATAGTTTAATTAATTTTATAACAGTATGTTTTTAAGAAATCTGAAGTTTTAAAATATTTGTTAAAATACATATAATGAAGAACAATTGGAAATATCATTAGACAAATAAGTTATAAACAATAAACATTATACATGTTTTATCCTGCCGAAACAATTTCTAGATGCATAAGAATGTAATCAAAGCGTGGAATTTTCAGGGCGAAAAAATCCTTCGTACGTCTTCCTTCGTCGGGGAAGTAAAGTCGGATCTCCCATGTAATAGATTAACTTCATGTAAAATATTTCTAAGCTTAAAGTTAGTTCGCCTGTTTCTTCCCCCAAGTGATACAATCCTTCTCCAGACGGTGGGGGCTAAAGAGTGAAAGGAGCATAGACCAATTTGCATGGTTAGACGGAAGAACGGGCCTGATGGCCTGAGTCTCACCACGTAAAAATAAGGCTTAGTTAGTTTGAAATGAATAAATAAAAATGTAATTATTTTGTTAGATTTCACCGGGCGAGCTGGCTTAGAGCATCAAATAATATCACTGCAGTTCCTTTGACCGGGAGGCCCTAGGTTTGCGTCCCGACGGTTGCAGGATTTTCGACATTAGTTACACGACTAGGTCGAATTCAACGTCTGTTTGAGGGAGAATTCTGGCATCCAGAGGTCTGCCGAGAAGGTATTGAAAAGTTTACCCCTTTCGTATAAACTAAAAAAATCTTCAATTTTTGAAAGATTTTTTTAAACAGAACTACATCAACTTTGCGGTTTGCTGCATCAATATTTGACACTGCAGTGCCCCAGAACGGGAAGTTCTCGGGTTTGGGAGCCGATGATGGCAAGATTTCCGACACTAGCTTCATAGCTAAGACGAGTTCAGCCGCTGTCTAGAGGACAATTCTGAAAGTCGGCTGCTCTGATCGGTAGTTTTCCGAGGTGTTTCCGTATATCAGTCGAAGGCCAGAACAGTACCCTAAACAACGGGACGCGGTCCGTGTACGATATTTCCTTCCTCTTTCCCGTTCTATCCACATACTTTACTTACACACTCTTACACTTGCATGCACTACACATGACGTGAGACGGATCGGGCGGGTCGGGAGCTCAGAGCTTGTCCCGGCTGGGTGTTCCTCGCTGCTGGGAGATACCTAGTGGCAGAAAACCCCACTTGCCGACGGGCAGGTCGTTGCCGAATTTCACCATCCAGCGGGGAAGATCACTGCCACCTCACGAGAGGAAAAACATGCCTACACTTACGGAACTAATTACAGGACAGCTGGCGCGCCGGGAATCACCAATAAATAAATTTTTAGGTTCTAGTTATTTGAATTTTCTAGCCCTGATATGTATAATAATAAATAGTTGTTTTTAATTAAAAAAAACAGGCTTTTCTGCCTCAGCGCGCGGTTCAGGCCAGTGTGGGGTACGGCGCGCGGACTCCTCGCTGTCAGCTGCCTCCGCGAGCCCCCGACAGCGCCACGTCAACCGGACTGGCAGGCGCGCGGGCGGACATCGAGAGCGGGTGGCGCAATGAGAACATCGAACTGGTTTGCTCTTATTCGCGGCAGGAATGTACGGAGAAGCGAACGGTTTCATCTAGATCAATCTGGCAGAGGCTAAGTGATAGGAAATGCATGTGCGGTATTTTTAAATAAGCACGTTTTTCTTATTCGTCACTGAATTCCCCTGGTTTTAGATTAAAGCTTCTCGTCGTTAGCCAGAGATAGTTTGGGGGAAGGGTAGATGACGCAAGGTTTCAAGATTTCTCTATCTTGTTTTGTGAAGCTTTAGCAAACAACTTAAACGGTAGTACGTAATTAAAAAGTTACAGATTTGAACAACAAAATATGGCCCACTAAATATGGCCCACTAAATATCTTGGATTTTTACAAAAATAATAGTTAACCAAATGAAATTCTAATGATAGTTTTTTTAATGATCGAAAATGACCGCTTGCAATATTTATTTTTGTACTTGTAAATGCTACGAGAAATTTTATTCGCTTATTTGCATTTCCCATAATCTGAATAACTTATCAATTTAAATATGTTGTATTTACTTTTTTTGAAATTAACTTTGTATTGTTCTATTTTGTATAAATAAAATGGTAAAAATTGTTATAATTTATTTTTTCTTGAGAGTCCTTCACAAGGCTTTAGATTTACGTTCCTTTCGCCAATAAATTCGCCTCCAGCAACACAGCGGCACCACCTAATGTACAGTTATATCCCCGCAAAGCGTCACTTAACGTGCTCAATTTCCCTGGTAGCGTCGTTCATCTCGAAGTCCTGGCATCGCTTGCTTGTTGCGTCGCGTTCTACCGCAAACACTGTACCTCTTGCTCCCTCCCATACTCCGCCTCCCCCTCCCCTCGCTGGCGCAAACGAGGAGGGGGAGGAGCGCACACAAAAACGAGGGTCTTCCCTGTGATTTAGTATAAGCCCCTGCGATACACCGAGGCGTGCACTCGGCGCCTTAAGCGAAGACCGTTTCACCCCGTCCCTTATGGCGGGCTAGTCGCGTGCGTGGTCGCATCTCGAAGAGTAAAAATACGCATCTATAATTCATAGCGACGCCTCCGCGGCACAACCTTCTCCTAAGATATTGACCGCAACGGAGCGGAGAGACCTTACAGCCCATTGCTCGCTGAACAGTGGTTCTTTGGAATAGGTTTCGAATAAAAACGGTGGTTGCTGCTGACGTTTTGCCCGGCCGTTATTGAATTCTGCGGCGGAAAAGCGTTGCCATTCATTACAGGGCGAGCGCTGGACTCGGGGGTACCGCCGGGGGAAGGGCAGGGGCGGCGCGGGGCGACGCAAGGGTGGCGCGGGGGCGACGAGGGGGCGGCGCAGGGTGGAGTGCGGGGCGGGGCGCGAGGCGCGGAGTCCGGGGCTCGGGATGCGAGGGAGGGGCGCGTGGAGGGCGCGGGGCGAGGCGCGGAGCGAGGTGCGGGGGCGGCGGCAGGCCCACGCCTCCTGTTATTCATGGCCTCCTGGTATCGGCGCGTAGACTGCATCGGCGGAGGCGCCGCTAAGAAAGGCACATTGTTGCGAGGCGGTGCTGCTGTATCGACAAGGCTGCCAACTGCGCCACCATATATAACGCACAGTGCGGCATTGAGTGCAACTCTCTTACATCAGCCCCATTGTGGTGAGTTACTATCTTCCGTTCGTGATGGTATTACTCATGCCAGACGGCGGTATGTGTGCGCGCGTCAGCGTGCACGTTTGTGCCGTTTGGGGTGAAACAGCGACACTCCAAAGTCCTCGGCGAGCCGAAATTTACGAAACGTTTCGACTACTTTATTGCGAGGTAACTGGGTTTATTGTGTTGAGGGATTTATAGAAAGCGAATGAGATATCCCGGCGTGAATATGAAATATATTGAAGATATAATTCTTGTGCAGCTCGCTTCGAAACTTTCACTTGAAGATACGAGGTCGCCATCCATTTTTCACGAGCCTCTGTTTCTTTTCCCCAGGAAAATATTTTTCACGGCACAGTTCAACCATGTTGGATTCAAAATTATGTTCTAGGTCTGAGGCTGACGTAATGCCTGCATTAATTAACCTTTTATGTACTTTTTGTGAAATTCATCTTCCCGTAAAACATTCATTTTCGAGTTGCAGTAAGCCCACAACAGTCATTCTAGCAACATACATGTCTTAAATTCATACTGTAATTTGTCTTTTGTTATATTATCCTTAGTTCAATCGGTCGAATTTTTAATACTCTTCGCTGATATATTTGATTATTTATTTTACTTACATCAATGAAATGATATCCATTTTCTCAACTATATTTTACTTAAATTGCTTTTCTGAAAGTAAATAAAAAGAATTAAAAAAATAATTCAACCAAAACTTCAGATACGCAAACACTATTATAAAAATAATTTTAAAAACTTTGATTTATTCTTTGAGATATTGATGGACAACCCTTATCTCCAATTTCAAATGCGTGCAGATATTGAAAGAAAATTTTGCATTCCGCCCATATCAGAGGTGTTTAAAGTTTTGTTTGATTCGAAAAAAAGTTAAAAACAATTAAACAATTGTAATATCAACTGAACAATTCAAAAACCATTTTGTTTGTCAGTCCGGCTATTCCCATATCGGTTGAATTCTCGGGCCGACTGAATTCTCACTCTCAGTGGGCCCTGCTTACGACACAGCTGGCGTCATCCAACTATAAGGCTCAAAGGAAGATGCCGCCCACCATTGAATATTCTCTTTTCATGCGTTGCGTTGAAAAACAGCAAGTTATTTATTATAATATACATATAATTTGTTTATGATTATATATGTTATACACTGAAGAGTGTTTTTATTAAAATATTTAATTTATAGCATTATTTGTATTTATTGTATTAAATAAGGGTCTTTTATTTGTTATCTTGAGAAGGGTGCGTGCTACCTTTCGAAAATGCATTTTCTGTGGTTTTGTTCAGCAGATTTTTGCAGTTGCAGACCACTAGTCCATGTATCTTTTATAGACACATAAACTATGAAAATTGATTTTTTCCAAAAGAATACAATTAACCTGTACTAAGCTTTGAATTTCATAAATCGCGTAAGCCACAAACGGACTATGATATGTTACCGCAGAATAACGGAGAAACATGGTGGGGGACGTGCGTTGTCTGTTTGGCTCAGCATGAAGCACGACTTCCGCTGCTACGCAACCGCAGTGCGCATGCCTTTATATGAGGTAATTTAATGGGCGGCCTTGGGCAAAAATCAAAACTGGCGCGTTAATCACGTTCATGTGTAATTTATGTTCCCGCACCTGCGTATATTTCAATTCGGGGCATTACCCAGCCTTATCCGCTAAATTTCACCCTAAACGTGGGTTTAGTTGTGCATCTGTCCTTACTCATCTCTGTAATTCATGAGAGACATTACTCTAATTTGCGAAATCACAATAATCTAATGATTAGTAAGAAAATGCGTGTTCTTCTCTGACACGAAAACAAGCTTTCTGGAAACCAATAGTAACGGAAATATTGGAAGACAGGGCGAAGCATTAAAAGTAAAATCGTAAATTTTCAATATCGTTTTGTAAGTCTTTAACAAACGTCTACAAAATCTGCATCAACAATAATTATATACAAACTCAATAAATACAAACTTTCTTTTCAATATAGTGATTCCCCATATTATTCTCAGATGACGAGATAATATAGATTTGTAATGAAAGTTTTGAATGTGAGAACGATCATTGTAATATTAAAATAAAATAATGAAAATAAAGAACATGAAAACAACGAAGCATGGTTTAAAAATTAAATAGTTAATGTATTTAAAAATTTAAACATATTTTTCTCTATAGTATTGTGTATTATTTCAAGTCATCTAAAGAAATAAATGTTTGTTTCACTTTATTAATTTTATATAAGTGTATACTTGCGTTCTTGGTTTACAAGTACGACAATAGCTGAGGTGACCAAATATTTTTATTTCACTTACTACTGATAAATCTCTAAAAGTTTATTTCAAATATAATTTGTTTGAGCATTTTTTACATATCCGTAGATTAAATGTAAGATGTTTTTATCAATAAACGTGAACTCGTTTTCCTAGTATGTTAAATATTCAGTTCACACTGGTCATTTCGTTTGACAGTATCGCGGGTTACAAAAGAGAAATAATGCCTTCTTTTATTTCCCTTTTGAATTTCATAGACGTTTTAAAAGAACTTTTATGCATACTTATCTCGGTCAAGTATCATGAGAACCTTCATAAACTGGCAGCCTGATAACATCTGGAATTCAGATATCACTTTATTACAACCCACTGCTGTGTTAGAAGGTTTGGTATCTTTACGTTAGTAAAATGTGACGCAGTGGCTTTAAACGCAACAAGTACTACGCGAGATATGGCTTCTATTCCACTGAGAAGATAAAGGGTTATTGTTCTCTGAATTAAGTTTTTTTTCTTTTAGGTTTAGTTATATTTATACATACCTTGCTGGTAACTGTTGCAGATGTTTTGTAACCTAATAATAAATGGGCCATTATATTGAAAATATGAATAAGTTATTCTCATTACCAAAACAAATGTGTCATACATTATGTAAACAAACGTGTATATATGTGTAATAATAATTCTGTTTGCTTACGTCACTTCATCAATCAATTTGAATAAAAAATGTATTATTAATTTCATAGTGCCTCGGAAAATGAAGGACAGCTACAAAATACTTTTATAGGCGTTGAGATATTGTCATTGCTTATTCTTGCTGCAACTCACGAAATCACCAGACCTAAAAGGCGAATGTGGACTACATATTTTTGAATCACATTACAAAACTGTAGATGAGAAGTGGATACGTGAAATTGTCTAGAGAAATTGCGCAGAAAACATAATAGCATATGACCCAACATTATAGAGTTACGAACATTCCCGTAGATTTCAATTAAATGGGAAAGTATGAGATAATGTAGTTTAGTAAATGTTCATTTTTCTAAAGATCGCGACAATTCTTAGTTTTCTCCTATCTTAATTACTCTAAACTGTGTTACATACTTTTGCACGCCATTTAACACAATTTTAACACTAAACCTATCTTGACAAATTGCTATAAAATTATTACTTGATCAAACCTAGATGGTATCCCCTTCGAGAACAACACAAGTTACAGGTAATAAGTTGCCTTGTTAGTTGTCGCAAAAATATAATATTGCCGGCCAAGAGAGGAATTCATGTAAGATTACGGAAAATTGCTGCAAAAGTAGGCAGAAACTAACTTTTTTAGAAGACATATTTAATTTCGGTAAAAACCTTGGAAAAACGCTTTTCTTGCGAAAAGAACTAGAAATAAAGATGGAGAAAATACTTTGCAAACATACTTCAAGTAATAGCATAAAATACTTTCAACATCTTACATGTCCGTGCTTTGTTAGGATTACACAGTGATAACATTGAAGATCTTTTTCACTTCACTGTAGGCGATGCCTGTTCCGACTTTATACAGTGTTATTACGTTATCGAAGGTCTTCCAATATCTCTTTCCTCTAGGTAATCTCTAATTACAAAGGCACACAAAATAAAAAAATGAGTTTCAAAGACTGAACATATGTTTCTCTATGTATGGCGTCGCGCTGGATCCGTGTATGAAGCCAGATTGACTCACCTCCCTCCAGTTTTTTTAATCGCAAAAACATCGTGAAATTGTGTTTTTCTTTTGTTTTAGGAGCTTGTTGATGGACCAAAGATGTGACACATATTTTTGTATGTATGTCGACGCAATGAATTCAAAACCAGAATTGCGCCCTCCTGTTTTTTTATATTGCGAATAACCCATGCTAATACTAGATTTTGGTGTTTTGTAGTGTTCGACTCCACAGAATCTAAAAGTTTTCAGACGCCAAAGATTTGACACACTGTTATCTATGTACATCGGCGCACTGAATCCAAATCGGAAGCCAGAATTGCGCCACCACCCTCCAGTTTTAATAAAAGAACACTATGAAATTTACAATTTTCGGTGTTTTTCCGTGATTTAAAAAAACTGGATGATGATGGCGCAATTCTTCACGTGGCGCGCTTTACATTCATGACAACAAAACCCGAGAACCAAAAATTCAATTTAACGTTTTTTTCGCGATTTTAAAAAAAGCTGGAGGGTGGTGGCGCAAGTCTGGCTTCAGATTGGGATTCAGCGCGTCGATAGAGAAACATGTGTCAAGTCTTTGGGTCAGATTTTTTGTGCCAGAGTTATTTTTAGCAATCGGTACTCCTCTATTCCTTAGAAATGTCCTTTCAATTTTCTCCTACTTTTAGCCGCCCTTTATCTGACATTAAGTAAGTTCTGCTCATATACTGTATCTTCAATTGTTATTCTGCCTAACATGAAACCAACTTTAACTCTTTTGAGGAATGTCATTTCTGCAGTTTGTATTTTATTGACTTCCTTTTACACAGGAATTCAACTCTCGCTTCCGTACATTAAGACTGGTGTTGTATTGATTTAATACAATTTTGTTCTGGTATCCTTTATTGTTCTCTTGCTGAGAGTTCTAATAATTGGCCCGCATATATTTTCAAAATGTTAGATTTTAATTTCTGTCTTTTGTATAAGTATGCTCCTCAATAGAAAAGTATGAGATTTTGTTCGGTTTTAGTTTTATCAATTATAATTATTTTAGAA